CCACATCATGGATTCACCCAAATTCAGTGAGTGCATTCTATGTACCCATCACTGTACTAGACACTGGGGATACCAAAGATGGTGACAGCTAGTTCTCACAAAATTAAAGTCTCAGCAAATAATTACATGAATGTAAAATTATTATCTGTGACGAATGGCACAAGGAAGAGTTATGCAATGACAGGAAAACCTGTGGCCAAGGGATTTTTTTCTTAGAAGTCAAGAAAATCTTCCCTAAAGACTTCAGAGGCCTTATCTGGCCAAAAGGGGAAAGATAAACATTCCAGATTCAGAGGAACTAGCATGTGCAAAGGTCTTGGGGCCACAGGGAGTTTGCAGAGTCTGGGAAGTAACCTAGTGTCCTCAATAATGTGTAGTCCAATGCTGGTCAGCTCTAATACAAGCTTCCCAGTGTCACTGTGACATTCCATCCTTCTGGAAGGCTGGTGAAATTGAAGGACTAATGATCTGCTGAAAGTAGCTATTAATTTACAGCAAAATGGGAACCGAACTAAGCCCTATTGTCAATTAACATGCTGAAACTGGCACCCAGCCGGCATGCTGGGGCTGAGTAACCACAACCTGCCCTGCCACAACTTGTACTCAGAATGGGCAATAATTGTCTAAATCCCACAAGCCCCCAAAGAGGCTGGCAGAGATTGAAGCCATGATTGCAACAGGAAGTGGAGAAGGGTGGTGGGTGGGCAGAATATCAGCAGAGACAGCCCTTGCCAGCTGCACAAGGTCATAGACTGTGCCATGGCATTGCATGCATCTGTTTTGGTGCACTCTTTCTTTAAAAAATATTTTCTCCAGCTCTACACCCTTGTCGTTTCCACAGCCATGTCTCCTGACCCCAGTGGCCTGAACTCTTCTAATTGTTTGCTCTTCGAATGGCTTGTTTTCTTACCACAAAAGAAAGAGATTTGATCTTCTCATTGTAGAATAAAATATGAGACAATGGGCCCCCTCCCAGGATTCATCTTTGAAAAAGGCTTCAACAATATGAACACAAAAGAGCACATCAATACATATCAAGTTTCTCTGCATCACTGTGGCAGAGGCAGTGACAGAACTTCTAATTTTTAACTGGGCACAGGTGCCGAGAGAAGACTGTATTTCCGAACATTCCATATGGCTAAGGGTTGCCCTGAGGCCAAGTTCTGACCAATGAGATAGGAGTAGAAGTGACCTGTGACAGTTTTCTAGGATAGATGTTTCCATGAAGGGCGGTTGGCACTTCTGTTTTTTCCTCTTCCAGCCTGGATGTGATGACTGATGTCCATGAGTACAAGGGCCATGTAGAAGGGATGTGAAAAGTTATGCTGGAAGGAGCCTGGCTGCCTGAGGACTTACTGGAATAAAGCCATCATCCCAGTCCTGGGCTACCTACCTCTGGACTTGTAAGTCAGAGAGAAATAGAATATCATGATGTTAAAGCTGCTGTTATTTTGAGTTTCTATTACAGACAAACCTAACCCTAACTGATAAATCTATCCTGGGGATTTTTCTTTCTTTTCTCTTTTTCTTTTTTGATGGAGGATCACAGTGAAGTTTTTTAGTTATGTTGGCAGTGATATTCTCCATCTTCATGTGTGGCTGCTTCTTCAGTTTAACCCAGCAGAATCATGAGATGGAAAATGAACATGGACTAGAAGAATGAGGCCTCTGCATGCATCTGTTTATGTACCCTTTTAAAGAGTCAGAGACCAGCCCTGCCCCAATCTCACCAGCCATTTTCCACTCTGAGTTTCCACTTTCTCATCTGAAACATTGCCTCTAAGTTTTCTTAAAAATCTGATCGTTTCGAAGACTTGGCATGCTCAGTTTCAACCAATCCCTGCACCAATCTGCCAATGAAGGGAAATTATTATTGGGATGAAGAGTTTGCATCTCCCCAATAGGCTATGCTTTTAAAATCCATGCATTACCTGGATTTTTAAAGAAGAAGAAGGAAAGAAAGAAAGAAAGAAAGAAAGACCTAGGGAGTGTATACTTAGGGCAGCTTGAATCTATGCTTCCAGGTAAAAAAGTAAAAATTTTAAAAAGAAAAGAAACAACGGAAGGAAGAGAAAGACAAAAGGCAGTTCTGGCCCTACACTTTTAAGTCTTATCTTTTCTCTATTAAAAAAGAAATAGGCCTGGCACAGTGGTTCACACCTATCATTCTACCACTTTGGGAGGCTGAGGTGGGAGGAACACTTGAGCCCAGGAATTTGAGACCAGCCGGGGCAAAATAGTGAGACCTCGGGCCGAGCGCGGTGTCTCACATCTGTAATCCTAGCACTTTGGGAGGCCGAGGTGGGTGGATCACCAGAGGTCAGGAGTTCAAGACCAGCCTGGCCATCATGGTGAAACCCCATCCTTAAAAAAAAAAAAAAAGGATTACAGTAGTGAGACTTCATCTCCACAAAAAATAAAAAAATTGGCTGGGTGCAGTGCTGTGTGCCTGTGGTCCCAGCTACTCTAGAAGCTCAGGTGGGAGGATCACTGACCCCAGGAAGTTGAGGCTCCAGTGAACCATGATCATGCTACTGCACTCCAGCCTGAGCAATAGAGACCCTGTCTCAAAAATAATGACTGCAAAAGCAAACCCTCTTTGTCTCAATCAAAGGCATTCTCTCATTTTACCCTGATGAAACACATCCTGTGTTTCTGTGCATTTGCACATGCTTCCCCTCTGCCCACATTTTTCCTCTCACTTCCTCACACGGTCTAATTCTTCCTTGTTCAGATGCCCCCATCTTTAGGAAGTCACCCCAACTCTCAGGAGGGGATAAGTCTTGTGTGCTCTCCTAGCACCCTGGGCAAATCTCAGGCTGTCCCCACATGAGAGAATAAACTGCTTGACCGTCTTGACTCTCCAGTGACCAGCAAAGTGACCAGCACACTGTGAGGTTCATCAATATTCAATGAATTGGAAAACAAATATTCCTTCCTGTCTGACATCATCTCAGGTACTATCAATATTCCTGTTCAGGATTCACTTCTTGCACAAAGGGTATCTCTTCTCTAAATTCACATTGTATCTCTTGTCTGTGGTATTCATTGTGAAACACAATCATTTAGCACCTTGCATTGTTGTTCACTCATTTCTGTGTATTGTGCTCCTCAACCGGAATGTGTGCTGCTTAAATGTCCAGACCATATCTCAGGTGTCATGTCCTTTGTTATTCCCGCAGTTTCTAATATAATACTATACACACAGTAGGCAATCGACAAATGATTGATGGATGAGTGCATGAATCAAAAAAATGCTTCTTTAAATTGTGACCCCCATGAAGATTTACATGATTTTGGAGAGATTTTAACATAAAAAAAACCAAGCAGCCTTCACATGACAGAACCCATTTGGTGCCATGAGCTATGCTTGCACTTTCTATGAGTATACATTTTCCTCCTGCAGCGGCAGTTATAGCTAGTGGATCTGAGCCTGGTCTCTGGAGCTAGACTGCCTGGGTTTGAAGGTGGCCTCCCTTCTTGCTAGCCTTAGTCTATAAGAGACTTGGCTACTTCATTTGTAAAATGAAGATGATGCTAATAGGACCTACCTCATTAAGTTGTAAGAAATGTAATATAAAGCAGAAAACAGGGGACAGGGGAAGGTAATCCACATTAAATACTTGGCATAGTGTCTGGCTTCCAGTTAAGTGTCTGATAAATGCAGTTATCAGTGTGGCTTCTAAGATGATGACAGAAGGTTTAAATGGAACAAGAACTCTTAGAGAAGCCAGGGCTCAATCATCCTGGTCTTTTCATCATTCCTCTTATTTATGTGGGCAGTGTCCTTGGTGGTATCACTGTAAGGAAAGGTATAGCAATGACTTTTAGAACCAAGAAGTCAAGTTCCCCAGTGGGAAGTGTCATGCTATGTAACTGGACAGGAGGCCCATCAGGTATGCAGAATGCATTTCAGTAACATCTTAGTAAAGGGCGTGTGCCTTCTGCTGGGATGACTGGGTGCAATGCCATGTGCATGATAGGTATGAAAGACTGAATGTTAGCATTTATTCATCAAAAACATGCTGTTAGCCAGAATACAGATTTTGCAAACAGCCAGTTTTCCTAAAGGATTTGCTCTTTCAGATCATAAAACCTCCTCATTACTCAGCACAGAGATGAGTATAAATTAAGTTGTAAGCTAGTTCATGCAAATTATTTTACATTTTCCTGCCTCCCAGCTCCTCCCAAAAGTAAAATAAATGCAAAACAGTCTTTTTTCATTTCTTCTCTTTGTTTTGATCCCTGCAAACTAGCCACGATATTTCCAGAAAGATGTGGAAAGGTACAGTGCCCCACAAAGAAGAAAAGTTGGCATATTTTATGGAGTATAAAAGGTTCTTTATTCTGTGTTTGTTTGCCTACCTGTCAGCCTGCTTATCTGAGAGTGCCTGTCTGCCTTGCACCAGGCAACAACCAAGCAGCCATTTAATCCTGCATGACTCCCTCCTCTGTACCTTTATCACATTACAGGGAGGAACCTACACCAAGGCAGTCCAGGCTTAGGTTTCCCAGCAACCTGTGACCTGGCTGGAAAATGTGAATGTGTCAATCCAATTCCCTCTGCCTGGAATCCAGACTAGAAGCAAAGTAAGCTTTGCCAGTTAGCCACGGGAACTGCAGCTGCAGGACCATGAGGAAGGCAGGACCACAACCACCTCAACCACTTGACCCGCATGTAGGACAAAGTTGGGCATTGGGAAGCTGAGGAAGCAGAGAAAGTCGGGGTTGCTTAGAAGGAAGAAGCAGCATTCAGAATTCAGTTATTTTAATGGGTAAATGCTAGAATGTCCAGAACCAAGATCTCCGGACCCTGGCCCAGCACCATACCAGGACAGTCCTCGTGGGGACAGTGTTTATATAACCTTGCCCTGGAGATCAGGGATGGATGGTCCCCTGCCCTTATTGCTTCATGGGTATCTGTATCACTTGTGTTAGGTTTTGAGGGAGGGAGTACCTCTGTTTTTTGCAAGGACAAGAGATTTTTCTAAAACACTTACCTGATGTCACTGTTAGAGAGGCGTTGGCTCAAAAAAGCCATTAAGGCATAGCCTTGTGGTAACAGTAGTTGGCAAGATGAGAGTGTCCAGATCATACATAAACATCAGCTCCACTGAACTCTGATCTCCTCAGAACCAGGGTACCTGTTTTAAAGAGGACATGAGCAAATGAGAAGTCAAGCAGATGAAGGCAGCAAGTATAATGAGAGGGTTGGAAAGTTTCTCATACAAGTACTGAAGAAATAGGAGATTTTTTTACTTGGAAAAATAAAAATTAGGGAGACAAAGGATGTTTCTAATATATGTAGAGCTTCCACATGGAAGATACACCAAGCTTGCATTTTGTTCCTCTAAAGGCAAGAATTAGGATTGGACAGAAGTTACAAGGAGCTAGGATTTAGTCCAGAGTTTCCCAACAATGGAATGAGAGCTGCAGGATAGGGAGTACACAGCCTCTGGGGGTGTTCAATGAGAGACCAATTGACCAGCTGCCTTGTCCCAGGAGAGGGGAGTTTGGACTAGAGAATATCTGACAGTATCTCCAGTGTTATGCACAATGGATTTATCTACAATAACTAAACATTACCTCTAGGCTCTCAACAAAAGCTGCAGAAAGAAGCTGAAGATTAAGCAGACCATAAAATAGACATTCCTTTTTATCTCTAGAAGACTCCAAGTGGTCCAGCAAGAGAAGAGTCATGAAATATCTCACACCCTCTCTTATCTACATTTGTCTCTGGGGCCGATAAGACCATGCCTCTGCAGTAGAATGATGTTGTGGGACCTCCTCTTACTGAGATTAGCCTCTTAGAAGGGTGTTTGCTCATTGCCTTTTAAGCAGATGGAAAATTCTGGAAAGGAACTTTATTTTTTAAAGCTTAGAGGATGTGCTAGTTGGTGCCAGACAATTTTCCAAGGAAAAAACCAAAATCCAACCAATTTACCGCCCCCGCCCCCCCGACCCCAGGTGGCGGGTACAAAAAAGCAGGCAAGCTAATTCTGAAAGCTCTAACCATAGTTTAGCACCATTTATCCACGGGCCTTCAGTCCTACCACCTACTAATCATGCAAGTAAGTCCAGATTATTGCAGAGACCAGACACCTCTGCAGTCCTGCTAGAACAGACCAAACAAAATCCTTCCCTATGTGTCTTCTTTTCTGTCTGCCTTGGTCACCTCCACTATCCACATGTTTAATAATCGGGCAAAGGACATGGCAGGTGGGGAGAAATCCCAGTATGTCTCTCTATATCAGGGGTGCTTTCTGGACTTCCTCTTAGGAAACAGGAAACAGCATAGCAGAAAACAACTTCTGGGAGTTTGCTAGCCAAGGCCTGGCAGCCAAGGTGATTAGTGGGTAAGCTACCACTCCCACTGATGACAGGATAGTCCACTTACCAACATCCCTAGCTAAAAAAAAAAAAAAAAAAAAAAAAAAAATTTTTTTTTTTTTTAAATTTCCATACTACGTCCTCACACAAGACAAGGATTCGATTCCAGAACCAGTAAAATAGAAACCTGCCAGAATAGAATGCCTTCAAATGAAAGTAGTTTGTCATTATCCAGGGTTTAAACTGAAGCAGAGCTAAATTATTGTTAGAAACCAGAACCATTTTGGAGAAGGATTTGGTTTCCTGTCAAACATGCCAGACCATTGTGGAGCACAGAACGAAGCCCTGGAGCAATCAATCCAGCATCCTTCCATGATGGATAGGTAAGGCCCTCAGCCCAGCCCCATGTTAGGTGCTACCCAGGTATCTACGCCTGTCCCGGCCAAGGTGGCAAGTCTGGCAGCATTTCCCAGTGCTTGCCCTCTCCCAGCCCTCTTTGTCGTCCATTGCAGAGCTGTGCATTCCACTGCAAACAGAGCCTGCCATTGAGCCATTTTTCTCTGCACTGCACATAGTTTCTGCTGCCAGGATGAGTCACCATGCAACACATACCCTCATCCCCTCCACGCTGTACTTAAAATACTCCAGGGCTGGCCGAACAGAACCCCACTGTGAGTGAGCACGTGTGTGAAGGTGGGATTGGCAGCTCAGCCCTGCGGAGCCCTCTGCAGAGCAGTCTGCATTGTGTTTGGCAGAGAGATTCAGAGAGCCAGTATTTGGGGAGGGGCGGAGAGAGGAAGGTCTGTTTTTCAAACCTGGTTCCACATCATGCAGCCTGCCAAGTTGCACCATCTCTTTTGCAGGCACCCTCACTTTAGCTTCTCCGATCTTGAACAGAAGGATCTTACTGCTGGGGGTTGATTTGTCCTGCCTCTTCTCCCAGCCTAGCTTCTGACTGGCCATCTTGCTACAAACAGAACTGCCCTGTCCTGCTTTTACCTGCCAGCCTGTCTCTGCCTCCAGCATGGATTTTTCTTCAATCACAACAGCATCTAGTCATTTCCTGAGTTAGAACTTGTCATCCTTACCGGGATGGAGGTCCCTCACTGCTCTCCTGCCATTCCTGCTCTCTGCTTCCCCTCATCCACCCACACACAGAGCACTAACCTTGGGCAGAACCATCCCTCTTCCTCAGCCTGCACTGAAAAAAAGGGATTAAAAAGTGTTCTCTTCCTCCTGAGCCTTTAAACTGAACTCAATAATTTCTTTCTCTTTTCTGCAGAGAAACACTGGATTTCCACAGGCATTGGCTGAAAAGTTGTCTTAGTTCTCCATGGTCCCCACCCTCCTCCACACCCAGCCACACACTCCACCTGCCAGGGGTACCCCGCCCTTTGGAGAACTACACACGTTCCACTTTCAACCTGCTGCTACAGCACCCTTCACAGAAGGGGCCTTGGAACAAAAGCCCAGATCAGCACAGCCTAAAGGGACAGGATGTGCTTGAGTTATTCATTACTTGAGTTGGAAGAGGTCACAGAGCAGGAAGTACACTGGAAAGCAAGGGGAAAGGTGGCAGAGAGGGTGGGGAATAAGTCAGGGTGACCTTCTTGGGGCTGATGGGAACTCAAGAGTCCTGGTAGGGGGTGGGTATCAGAGTGGGAAGGAGACAAAGTCATAGCAACAGCCCAAGGTTAGCCAAGGTCAAATGGAAACAGCTGATTATAATTAAGCTAGCTACTTAGTAGCTCCTGCTATGCACTAGGCACTGTGCTTAACACTTTCCCACATCTCCCCTTCTATCCTTGTAATAATGTATCACTTCAATTGTATAACTGAGGGAACAGCCCTGGAGAGAACAAGTGACTCGCCCAAGGTCACCCAGCTAGCATGTTCTGAAGCTGGGAATATGAATGCAGGTCTGTCTTGCTCTTTACCAGCTTGCTCTGTGTGGTGAAATGGTTAGATGGGTGGTACAATTCCAGATGGTCTAGAGTGGCTGGGCAAGTGGAGTCTGAGATGAGCTACTGGGAGAAATCTGGTTTCAATAGGGCTGAAGTCATGTTCTTCAGCAACAATCCCAGATCTGGGTGGAAACACTGAGGTTTTCAGGAAGCCTGGGGGAAGCTGGCTTAGGATGGAGCTGCTGCTGCATTGGCTATGCAGATGTGACCCTCAGGACTTTATCAGTACCTGTGAAGTTTCCATGCAGGGAAAAGGGGAGAGTAGAGCTAAGGACCTAAAATTTGAGAGGGGAAGATATTCCCCAGAGGAAGACAGTAAATCAAAGACTAGAGACCAGGAGGTGCAGATGCCTCATCAGTCTACTGGGTGTTTGCTACACCTCTGAAGAGCTAAGGTAGGACACTTTTTTAGGAAAAAAGAAAATCTGTCACTGGAGACTCTCTTTACATACTTTGTTTTACCACATGCTTCTTCTGGAAGTGGGGCCGGGAATCAAGGGTGAGGTATAGGAATGGGGTGGGCACAAGCAAGGGCACTCCCCGAACCGCCTCATCCCTTCCCATGCTACCCTTCCCCCACTCATCTCTTTTTCCTTATTCTACCCACAGGTTTTCCCTCCTCTTACAGTAGTGGGCACTCAACAACACATACCCTTCGCAGCAACCTGTCCTGCTGGAAACTCCTCCATAAGGTAACTTCTGCCTGAAGGGGACCAGGGCATCATATCTGCAGGTGCAGCCTCTTCCTGCAGCTCTCATACCACCAAGCTGGGGCTTTTCCAACGTAAACATTATAGGGGCTAAGCAAGAGGTGGCTTCTTTTCTCAATAAGCTGTTCTCTCTCGCGGTTGCCCTTGACAGAGCCCTGCGGCCTCCCCCACTGAGGCTGGGTGGATAGGTGGCTGCTTCTCCCCTGAATTTCAGGAATGTTGAGGTTTGCACAGGTCCTGCAGGCGAGCCTGGAGAAGGATTAGTAGGAAAATGCTCATTCTTCATTAGTTCGGGCTTGTCTTTAGGCCTGCGAGGTTGACCTTGGGGACAGAGGGGTGGCCCGGACAAGCATCCTGGTATTGGGAAATTCTCTGATATGGGGCTGGGACGTCAAGATGGGCCATGGTGGCCCCTGGGGATGGGGCTTCTCTGCAGTGGAAGCAGAAGCATCAGGGTGTTTTCTGCTGTGTCACTGCCCTGAGAGGGATGTATAAAGCTGCTCCGGGGTTCATAGGAAGGGGATGAAACCAAGAGTTTGGCTTTTCAGCAACAGCAGATAAAGGGTGGGAAGATTTTGTCCTGTGAGCTAGGCTTTCCCAAAGGTCCTTTGGCTCCAAGAATTTTACAGCAGAACAAAGGAATCGATACACCCAAGGGGGCATAAAAGCATGCCAACGAGAATACCCGTCGCCGACCTGGCATCAAAGAAAGTCCTCGGTGGCTGGGTCACGTGCAGACATTGTCGCCTGGGGTCTAGAGTGGCGAAAGTTGCAACCGGTTTCGATGGGACAGCTCACGGAGGGCTACCCCTCCCGAGCCCTGGCTCCGTGCTAGCGCCCTGGGTGGGTTTGGCCATTGTCCAGCTCGAGGTGGTTCAGGCCGCCCACAAGGAGCACAGCCGGGCAGTCAGGAACCGGGGCTGCCGGCTGGGCCGGCCTGCAAGGAGAGGGAAGGGCCGGAACTGCAACCGCAGTGGCGGGGAGTGCGAGGGGGCGGCAGGTGCAGGAGCGGGAGGCGGGGCGGAGCTGGGCAGAGTCCTCGCGCGTCCGGCGTCCCAAAGTGACCTTCCCCCACCCCGCCAGGGCCCAGGAGGGGTGGACCCACAGCCCAGGGAGGCCGGGAGCGCGGGCGGGCGGGGGGTGGTGGTGGCTGGGCCGGGAATGCCGGGCCGGAGTCCTCGGGGTTCCGGGAGACCCAGGTGCAGACCACCTTGCTACGAAAGGGGCGGTTCGCGCCCAGCCAGGAGGGGGAGGGGGCTGCACGGCGCTGCCTCAGCGTCCCTCGCCGTCGCCCGCGCCTCTCCCGCCTCCCCCACGCCCAGCGCTCCTGAAGGCCCCTCTAGCCCCGGCGGCTCCTTTGTGACAGCCCCGTGCCCGCCCCCTCGGGCCGAGGCCCCGCCCCCCGCACCGGCGATTGGCCGCCCGGGCCGCTAGTGGGCGGGGCGCGCGGCCGCCGGGGCGCGGTATATAGTAAAGGTAGGGCGTGCGCTCTCAGCTAATTCCTCGGCTGGTGGCGGGCGCGCAATTGCCGGCCCGCAGTCCGCTTGTCCGTTCTTCCCTCTGACTCTCCTCTCTCTGGCCTGTCTCTGCAGCGGTCACGGGAGGCGGGAGCTCAGCACACGTCTCCAGTGGCAGCGGGAGCGCAGCTGCGGGTTCGCGGAGCCTCCGAGCCCCCGAGGGCTAGAAGAGCGCTCGGCAGACCAAAGAAAGCCCGCGAGCAGCCGCGCGCCCACCAATAGGTGCGGGACTCGGAGCCGCGCAGCCTGCGCCGTCCCTCCCTCCGCCCCCGCCCCCCGCCGCCGCCTCCTCCTCCTCCCGCTCCTGCCTCGGCTCCTCCGCCGAGCGTCTCGCACTCCGAGAGCCGCAGCGGCCGCGGCGCGTCCTGCCTGCGGAGAGCCAGGCCGGACACGCGGAGCGGCGCAGAGGACGCCAGGGCGCGCGCCGCAGCCACCCACCCTCCGGACCGCGGCAGCTGCTGACCCGCCGTCGCCATGGCCCGCGGGAAAGCCAAGGAGGAGGGCAGTTGGAAGAAATTCATCTGGAACTCAGAGAAGAAGGAGTTTTTGGGCAGGACCGGTGGCAGTTGGTGTAAGTACGGGGTCCGCAGCTCCCGGCCGCCGCGTCCGGTCTTTCCCGGGCGGCGCATTCCCTGCTCAGGCTCCGCGGCCAGTTCCGCACCCGCCGCGCTGGCCGGGGTAGAGGGGGCGAGGGTGGTGGGCGCTGCTCGGTCGCGCCGGCCTGGCCTTGCCATCCTGTGCGGAAATGCGGAGTCCCCAGAATGGGGCTCGGGGTCGGGGCTGGAACGCGACAGGCAGAAGGTTATGCGTATTTTAGCGATCTTGGCTTGGTAATTTGCAGTCTTTCCTACCCTGCCTCGGTGGAGCCCTTTCTTCCTGGGAATGGCCAGGCTCTGCGAGACTACATCTGTCTCTTCTGTGTCCTGAGTCCTTAAAGAAATGAGATCTGGGGTCGTGAGAACCTCAAGAAGCAATGGGATCTAATGCAGGCGAGGTTGTGTGTTACAGCATCTTTCTTCTAGTCTAAATATGTACCTCAAAAGAGAGGAGAAAGGGAAGGGTGGAGAGGAATCCATCCACACTGCAGTATTTCACAGCGATGGCTAAAGGTTTCCCTCTGTGACCTCCCCTGGAGTCATCACCACCCAGAAATGGCTCAGTGAGCTTCATGTCAGGACTCCGATTCTTAGCCCTGGCCCGAAACCTGGCAAAGTCTGGTTGTTTTCAAGGTGTACCGAGACAGATGTGGATCAGTCAGTAGATTGGGTTGATTATGGTGAAGGGCTAGTATAATATAAATGCAGAAACAGCTCATCTTAAAATATTTTGTGCAGCCTGTTGCTTGGTTGGATGGACGGTTCCCATCGAAAATTAGATTCCTTGTTTTCAGCCTCTCTACTCTGGAAGGGTGACTTCTTTTTTTTTTTTTTTGAAAAAGGTCATTTTGAAGGGCAGAGTTGTAGGCGAATCTATAAGAGTCGTGACTGTGTGAGCGAGCGAGGGAGGGAGGGAGGGAACTCCCCCTGCTGCATCACTGCCCCCTGCTCCTCCAACATCATGATCATCATCATGACTATCGACAACACCACTAGCACCACCACTGCAGTCATTCACGGAGTCCTCAACAGAGGCCGATTGGTGTTCCTGGTTGAGAGGATCTGTGGGAATCGGCAGGAGAATGAGTCAGGGAAAGAGTGCTTAGCTGACATTTTGAAATGGAAGAAGCTGGAATATATGAATTTTTGTAAAGAAAAAAAGGCAGCCTGTGAGTCTCTCTTGATTGAAAAGTAAAGGGTTAATAATGCATCACATTTCAAGGTTAGTCAAGGTGAAGCCTCTTTCTAAGGTGTTACTGGGAAGCATAGGTATCCCTGAGCCATGGAAAATGTACCTCTTTAATGGGTTTTAGCTTTTTAAAAAAATACTTTGTTTTGTTTTGGGGAGACTGTGTTCTTCCTGGAGATTATTGTCATAGCGTCTGAGGCATAAAGGTAGTTTCCTGTGTTTTCTTAATGTGAAAAGGAAAACCTGAAGAACTGTGGGGTGTGTGTAGATAGCTTCCTGGCAACTCCTTGTAACTTGAGGGAGGCCTGGGAGGTGCACTGCAGTATGGGCACCCTTATTCCCAGGTTAGCTGGGGCTTCCTTAGCTGGTGGTCTGACCCTGCTGCGTCACGGGGCAGGGGCTGCATTGATTGACTCTAGGGACATTGTGAAATTTTCCTTCTTGTCCTTTTCCCCTTCATAAAACATATATCTTTCCTCATTCCAATTTCATGCTTCTTAGAATAATATTTGCTTTAGAGAGTAAGGCAGTATGGACTGACTCATTCTTTAAGCCGACATTTAATGGGCAGCACCTCCATGAGAGAGAGAGAGAGACCGTGTGTGTCAATATTTATGTCTTGATATCCTATCCAGCAAGCTATCAGTACGCTGATTTATGAATGTAGACCCCAGGGCTGCTGTACTTGCCTCCTCTTCCCTTCCATGTTCCATGGTACAGGTACGGGGCTAAAAAAAACCCTTTTTGTTTTGTGCTAATATGTCTGCCTCTTTCTGGCAATGTAAGAACTGTCAGAGCCTCTCTTAGGTAGAGAAGGTGGCAGCAATTACCGGCTCTTACAGAGAAAATGCCCCTTTTCCAGCTCTGGGCCCAACATGGATGCCCTTGGGGCGAGGACAGGATGCCCTTGGCTCGGTTTTGCTTCTAGGTAGATTTTCACCAAGATGGACGCAGGAGACTCGCCTGTCACCTGCTGGAGAAATCACAACGTGCACATCACTTTGTGCTTTCCACCTTTTTATTAGGTTAATACAGACATTGGTAGGTTTTTATATTTATAGCTAGGCCTAGATGCCTGCCTGTGACCCTTTGAAGGGTACAAACTTTTTTTTTCCCCAAAAAAACCTCTGTGTTGCTTTTTTTTAAAGTGAGAAAAATTGCATGAAAGGAGAAGCCTCTAAAGCCTGCCCACTCCCCTCATAGTGCCACCCCAGCTAGTTGGTGTGACTTATCTAGCCTTGTTTTTGGGTAGCCCCTGGTGGCCTGTGTCTGGGTGAGCCACTGCATAGGCCCTTCTAGTCCCGAATGCTCCACTCTTTCCCAGTGACCTCACGGCAGTAACTAGGGAGATTTTATCAAGTAACAGGTCAGAGCAAAAAAGGAAAATTCTTCACTTTTCTTAGGATATTGTGTTGGTAGAATGGAAAGGCTGTATGTTTCTGAGCTTAATCGGCATACTTGCAAAACGACTTATTTTTCCATTGCTCTATTTGTATTTTAAACTGTAGCATCAGTTATGTGCCCTCCTATGTTATTAGAATTAGGTATCTGGAGACCAGGGAATGAGTGTAGAGGTGTTGCAGTTGTTCGAAGGGGCACATGTCGGTAAGCTTAAGAGCACCAAGATGAGGTGCGGGTGGGGGGACGAGAGGAAACTTGAATCAAGGCTACAACAGCTGTCTTGCTGACTGTTACACCAACTCTTGCACCTCTTAAGAGCATTCACTGGAAAAATTTTCCAGATCTCTTGACGTCACAGCATTGCCATTTGCCTACTGCTGCTTGGATACGGAATGCAGCACTTAACCCTTGTCCTGCAGGGAGGGAGTGATTGAGTTGAGCGCTGTAGTTCTGGATTACACCAGCTTTTGTTTCTTCCTTATCTTTGCTTCTTGTCGTTGCCTTTTTCTTTGTTCTTTGCTTTTGATAGAGGAGAAAAAGGATTATGATTAAGCATTTTGGTGCGGGTTTTGTGTGTTTGGCTTAACAGCCCTGTAGCCTGATTTCCCTTAACTATTTAGTGCCTGATAGGAAAGTTGGGCTTTCAAATGCAGGGAGTGGGCAATAAAGCTAATGCCTGCAATTGTGTACCCACTCCCTCCCTGGCCTCCTCCTACCACATAGACTTCTTTTCGATGATACTGTTTTTCAGTGGCTTTTCCTTAAGTACCCTGGCATTTAATGCATGAGATCTGGATCTTTTTAGCAGTAACCTAAGGCTCTTTTGTGCAGTCATGTTTCTGATTCGATAACCTTACAGTTCACTTGCTCCCTGTTTTGCATGCACATTGAGTTGTTTGGCTGGCGCAGGGCTGCCAGGCAATGCCTAGTACAGCCTGTTACTACTCAGCTAATCAGGGAGATAATCCTTATAAACCAGTAACTGATAGCCACCCTCATTCCCATCTTTGTGTCCAGTTGTGTTTCGCTTTTGCAGCTGTTTCAGCCTCCATCCTGTTATCTTGTTAACTATGGGAAAAAGAAAATGCAGCCCAACAAGTCAGTCATTATTCTGGTTCCAGTCAGAAGATGAAATTAAAATGTGCTGGTCATTTCCGCTATACAAATTTTCTTCTTTTTGCCCTCGTCCTGTCCTCCGAGGGGAAAGACTGTGCTTAGTCAGTAATACAAACCAAAGGTAGGGTGAGGAAAGGACGAGAGAATACATCACTGGGTTTCTCAGCATTCATTGCTCTGCCACAGCAAAATAATCCTCAGGCATCTGAGAATTTGGAGAAGCAGCAGAGCTTGGATTGTAGTATTTAAATGTCAAGGGATATGCAAGCAAAGAAAACACAGGTCTCTAAGGGAGTATATTGTCATATTTTAAATTCATTGCATAAACATCCAAACATAGCTCTAGATTTTATGGTGATCTTCATTTTTTTTTAAATAATTTTGAGAATAAAAAATATGAATACTTTGTTTTTAATTTAGGGAATTAAAGAATATAAGGATCCTAATTCTAGCTGAACATTCTTCCTACCCTTAACTACCTCCCATACACACTGTAAGTGGAGTGCTGCCCAGCCTCTCGATTTTTACCCTGTGTCAATGAGGGTG